TCGTTCCTCAGACCCGGGAACGATCCTTTCGCGTTCGTTCCTCCGACCAGGGAATGCCCCCTTCGAGCTTTACTTGCGATAATTAACTTTTTTCCTGAGACCTAAGATATGTAAATTTTTCTAAATAAAAATTATTTCATGAGACCTGCCTTTTTGCATAATATCTGACTTTGTTTGTGAAACCTAACCTAAAACCTATCTTTTTTTCTCTTGAGACTTAGTACCCTTTTTACTGAGACTGGGTGTCAGGAATTTCATCTGTTTATACTGACCTTACAAACCAATGGAAGCTGGAGCACATGTTGATGGCCCATGTCTGGAATCTTCTAGTAACACGTCATCAAACCTAATCAGATATTATTCCTCCACTTACAATTAGTAACTACAGAAATGCTGTACTTTACAAATATTTGGTGCATTCATTGATTTCTTTTAATGTAAAGGAATGTCAATTAGTTCAAGATAAATAACTTAGTGACCTGCCAACAAATACAAGACGACTGATTCACACGATGCTCCTGTTATTTACTTTAGCTCTCAGTAAAGGATCAGGATCTTTTTAGGAAGAATCAAAGAAAAAAAGCAAACATGGCATGGCATTACAGGTAATTTGCCTTAAAACAGAGGCTGTTCCCGTCTCCTCCATCGCTCTATGAACTAAAACATCCAGGAAAACCAAACAAAAATCCTGCAGATGATGTCCTGATTCCTGGAAGCAGCTCCAGGCATGTGATGACGGAGACTCCTGCAGAACCTCTTAACTTTATTGAGCAAAGAAGGAAGGGCCCAAACTATTTACAGCGGTACATATTTCCCATAACCTCACTGTTTTGATTTGTTTAGAGTTAAAAAAAAAAACCCTCCAGGGTTCAGCTGAGCCCCCCCATGACTGAGGGTCACTGTCCATGGCCAGAAGGGCTGCAGTTCCAACGCATCCAGTCACACGCCAGTATACAGTGACAGGAAGTAGATGTACAATAGGAAGATGGGATATATGAGGAGGGGCTTCTTGGTCTTAAATTCGTCTCCGACGAGGAGCGAAGCAGCACTGTACGCCGCCCAGAACACACCGAACAGCTGGAGACAGAAAACACAGCACATGTCAGCACATTTCACTTCTGCAGGGTCAAACACACAGAGTCAAACATCTGAAAGGAGGATTTCTATCAAAAACATCTACTGTTGAGCTGAATTCATTCCCCTCGGGGGCGTGAAGTGTGGGCGTCTCCAGACCGGGAGACTGCAGATTCCAAGTGAAGATGATCAAATTAGTAATGTTCACACATAGAACAGCAATGAGCTCTGACAGGGGGGCAGGGTGAAGGAAACACAGCAGGAAAGGAGCCGCTGTAAGTGCCAGATCTGCTCGGGTCCTGCTTCGTGCCAGTGACGCTACATGATTGGCTGAACGTTGCCTCCTGATGTAAAACATTGTGGTTGCCCAGACAACAATAACACGATGCAGTGTAAGTGTATAGAGTCTGGAGCATCTGTAGCGTCAGCGTGTCTAATGACAGATGAAGTTTTACCTGATTGATAACCAAACTGAAAAACATCTGTTTATGGTGAACAAAGTAACTGTTAGACCAGGATATAAAGAGGGAGAGCTGGTTAGCTGAACTCAATAGCTAACAGGTTAGTCTCTTTTAGCTCGGTCAGTTAGCCATATTAAGCTACACTACTTTTGTTTAGAATAGCGGTCATACAAACAAAACAAGCCAGTAAGGTACCAAACAGGAAATACGCATAGTGAAGAGAGGATGTAGGTTTGACCTTACCACACGACTTGCTTGTAACATTACGTTATGACTTTATGCTCGTACCGTTACCACACGACTTGCTTGTAACATTACGTTACGACTTTATGCTCGTACCGTTATCACATGACTTGCTTGTAACATTACGTTACGACTTTATGCTCATAACGTTACCACACGGCTTTATGCTCGTACCATTACCACACGACTTGCTTGTAACATTACATTACGACTTTATGCT